CGACCCTAACACAGACCATGGAGTTCTATTTGGCGCGATCCTGACACACCTATCTCGCTTCTACATTCATATACACGTATCTCGGTTTCGGTTGCTTTTTAAACCGCCTTTCTTGAGTATTTCATCAATCTGGACGCTACACAATCACTAACACTAATTGGCGCTAGGGAGTCAGTCCATGATTTCAGTGCCACTGTTCTGCTATACTGGCATAATGTAAACTGGGCATTTAATATGTTTCAGCCCATTTAACCTAAGAAAGTAATATGTTTTTATATTAGTTTCAGAACGAAACAACTCATAAAATATAAACACAGTTTATTTGTTAACACTAAATTGTTCTTGCAGTCTAGCGCTGGATCCGATAGCTGTACTGGAATATTATAAACTAAACATCACGTCATTGTTCAGTAAAGCCGGTCAAGTCACGAAAACGATGTTAATATTTACCCTAAATATGTCTAAATGTTATCCCAAATCGCCCTAATTCCCCCTTATCAATATATCCGGCGGAAATACAAATCCTCCCTTATATCCCCCTTATCGTGAAACCTCAAGTGCGGTCTATTTATTTAGCCTGATAAGGTCTGCATTGTAACAAACTGTAGAGGTATCTTTCCGCATTTAATTATACTGTGGAAATATTTATTTTTTCTTAATTAGAACAACCCAAGTGTCTAGCCAGTTCTTTAATATTTGAGGGTACGTGACAGGACGTTTTTTTTCTAATTCCTTATTTAAACTATCCTTCATTCTAAACCATAAGCAAATTAGGTAAACCTGGTAAATTAAAAAAGGTTGCTGCTTCGTTTGCCACCTTATAATCTAATAAAAACTAACTGTTGCCCACGACCCCGGCTGCGCTGAAACTATGTGTTCCAAACCTATCTTTCCATCTACCATCTGTGCAAATTTCAACAAGGTCAATTGAGCCGTTCTGAAGATATCTTCCATCTAAACTTTCGCATTTATAATTAGTAACACAATCTTTTTTCGACTCATGCCTTTAAAATGTTCTCTAAAATAAACGTATATTTAAATTATAAAAGTACTTTTGTAATTTGTTTACGTTGTTAAAACGACCAAGCGACGTGAACTTCTTTATTTGTAGCTCGCTTATGTTGCGTTTTAGTTTTTAACATTTCCGTGTAAAGCCCGAGCAATTTTTTTTATTACTGTATATTTCTACAGTCTAAATACTTGTGTGAAATATATAGTCATCTCTTTTTTGTTCTATTTAAAAGGACAGAGACAACATCAATACTTATACAGGAATTTCTCCATTACCTTTGCGTGTTTGTGTTATTTTTTTTATTATTTTTTTAACATGTATTTTGTTTTATCGTTCTGTCGACAATTACCTGTTGTGGATATTTATATTTGAAATATTACTAACTATAGTTATTATAAACGAATTTGTATTTTTTTCGGTGCGCTATAATTTGACCTTGCTTAAGTTTTATAGTTGTAACGTATTTTATGTATAGTCCTTTTCGAATATGTTGACGGCTCGAGGTGATGGGCGCAATGCGTGTCCTCCCCTCACATCCCGCTACTCACCGCTGCACCATTGTGTTCTACGCAACGACTCGCGCGAAGTTGAGCCGCCAAGATATTTGAAAACTACTATATTTATATCTACAATAAATCCGACAATGCTTTAAAAAATTTTGATAGTTAAATTAGCTATTACCTGCTAGAAAATCCTTCTATTCGTAAAATGTTTTTTTTTTTATTTTGTTAATTATTAAAAATGGAGTATTAAGATTTAAACATTTGAATACGGATATAAATATATTAAAAAATAAAGAGTCTTCCGATCGAAATCTTAATCCATTCTTATTGTTTAATTTCCTTTGTTCCAGTATAATAAATCTTCTAATCTGGACCACTGTAACCGAGCGCCCATCTTGATAAGAAAAGCGATACCGCACTTCTAGATGGATATTTAGTATATTTAGGAGAATTCTATTAAAGCAAATTTAAGATCATTTTATAAAACCAAAAAAAAACTTCGACGCATTAATTTAACATTTCTTTACTGTCAGTTTAAGAAGGTAAGAATATAAAAAAATCTTTACATCTATACATATTTATAAAATGATAACGAAAAATAATTTTTTAAAATTTTTGACTGACTGTCTATATGTCTGTCCGCAAGGCCGTGTTTGATTTTGACGGGAAGGTAGCCGATGTACGCAGGTTTATATAAATATATTATATTATATAATTTATGTAAATGTAAATATATTTAAATTCCGCGCTGACGAAGTCGCGGGCGACTGCTAGTCTTTGCATAAAGTGTGCTTATTTGTATAAATTATATTTTTTCATTATTTATTTTTGCTACGGTCAATTTCAACCAATACAAACAATCGAACAAATCGCCATCATAAGGAAGACTGAAATAATATATCGTTGCGAAAATTGAAATTGATGCACGCAATTGGCTCAAGTAGTATGCGAGACAAGTGTTAAGTGATTGCAACGAAGACAATTGTACCAATCTGTTCAATGCTACGCTCGAATAATTAAAAACAAACTTCGTATATATCATATTATTAAGCGCCAAGAGTTGTCCTTACTTGATTATTATTATTAACTAGCTGTCGCCCGCGATTCAGTCCGCGCGGAAATAAAAAAAAACATAATAAATAGCATACGTTTACTGTTAGCCACGCCAAATTCCAGCAAGATCTGTTAAGCCGTTTCGGATATACCTTCAAATAGTCTGCTTTGCTGTATGCCTTCTGCCACGTTCCGCGAAATGCACCTGAATAAATTCTTAAAAATCTTAAAAGATTATATCTTACAGTGAGTTTCTGAATCTACAATATCCGCTTAAAATATATTGTTATATCTATTTTGTCAAATGATAGAGATGACGATATGTTTAAGACATTTTGGTATCAGAACACCACGCTTAATACTGTTACTAAATGTTCCACATGCATTATTCTGATTCGAATAATTCAATTAAAATTCCAAAATCAAAATCCGTTCTCACGAAACGAATTCCGAAATAAAAAAATACTTTCTAATGAAATTTTACGAAAGCGTTAGAGTGTGTCGATGTCAGTTGCTTTAATCTCACATCAAAGGACGCGCTTACACGTTCACCAAATCCCTGGGTTATTTACATAAAGGTATACACGAGGTCAGAACAGTTACACAGAGCAGTAGGATAATGCAGTACTGCTACTAGTTCAACGCAACGAGCGATGTCTCTTTAGAGCGTCTCCACTGCAGAAATATCGTGTAACGACACGTGATATGACGGTCTGCATCGCGAAATGTTTGACGTTTGTTTATTTACGGCGGTTTTTTAACGCCGCGTTTAAACTGCGTGTGCAGCTCTCGAGCGTCGTACGATTGAAATCATGTTCCGTTTGATCAGCGCTCAAAATGCACTGTGCGATAAAAAAGCATCACATTTTAGAAGCACTGTCGTATTAGCATTTATTATATTTGATAAGATTTTACAACGCGCGTTAAAAAAACGTCTGTGCGTATCGTGACGTTTAATGTCGCATGACACTCAGCGGAGATCTACGTCAGTGTGTTCAAACAATGGTAGTACTGTATTATCTTTTTCCTCTGTCTCTTCTGTCACCGCGTGAGCCTAGCTTAACGCCCCACTGTTTACGGCTTTGTATAATTCATTATTCCCTTTAAACGGAAATATAGCTTAATGTGTACGTAATACGGGTCAGTATTCCGGATCAGTAATTGCAGTGTTTATTGGTGAATCTAGTCTCACCTGTACAATGAATCTTATATCTTTATACCACGAACTGGTTGAAATTATTTGAGTAATAAATACTTAAATTAATTATACAGGATGATTTTTTAGATATTCATATTTGAAACAGGATGAATTATACAGGTGATTTTTTTTAGAAATTCATATTTGAAACAGGATGGTTTTAAAGATTGATATTTGAAACAGGATTTATTGATTTAAGTGTACAACGTGTGTTTAAAAAAAATATAAAATTGTTTATATAAAGGCGTTTCCACGGAATTACACGTAAAAAATATAAAATATCCAATCTTTTAACAAGTCTTGTTTATACAGGATGTTTAATATACAAAGTAAAAAAAATATAAGTTAAACGTATCGTAGAAATTTTATTTATGAAATAGTTTAAACAAAAACACAATAATAATAAATATAGTATTTGATAATAAATCTTTTATCGTCTCAAACCGTTAGGAATGTTTATTGTATACAATAAATCTATCGAATGGGAAATAAAAAATGTTACTGTTGCGTGTGAAATAAATGTTAAGATACAATTTCCTATGACAGGAAGATCGTACAACTTCTCGATTGTCGCATATCGATATTTTTTATTTAGAATCGATTTCTCGCATCGCTATCTACGTTTTGCGATCTTATAGTACGTGGTGTGGAATACTAATTTTATATTGAATCCTGTAATCGATTTTTAGTTAATAATCGCAAAGATTACAGACATGTTATAGAACACATTTGTATTATTAAAAGTTAATAGTATTATTTATGTTAAAATGCTAGCTTTTGCCCGCGACATCTTCTACGCGGAATTAAGAAACTTAGTAAGTAGACTTTGCGTTCTTCAAGCTTATACGTCCCCACCGAGGGGCTCGGAGTCCACACTAAATTACGGGTGATTAGGCCATAGTCAACCACGCTGGCCAAATGCGGCTTGTTTGAATTTCTTCTCAGATATGTGCAGGTTGCATCACGATGTTTTCCTTCACCGTAAGAACGTCGGATAAATGTACATATGTAAATCGGAAATCGAAAAAACATTAGTACATGGTGGGATTCGAATCCAAGACCTGCAGATTGCAAGTCAAGTGTTTGACCCCTGAGCCACCGACGCCATATGTTCTAAATCTATGCACAAATTTCATCGAGATCCGCTATAGAGTAAGTAATAACATCCATCCATCATTCTAGCAATTTCTTTTAGTAAGTTGTATAAGTAACGTAAATATTTATTTTGTTCCAGGTATAAGTGCAGAGACAACAAATTAGTGATGTGAACCGATTAAATTATCGATATTAGTTAAACATGTGACAATGACAAAATCGATACCGTCCAGTCTATGACTGGTGTTTGTGTAACACTAGTGATGTACCCATGTCGATAATGAGTGTGCCGCGGTCGCAACTAGTGTTGCTCTTCATGCTACTACAATACAATGTCGATAGTCAACAAGAGGTGCTTATCGAGGAGTCGCGTGAGTATACATTTTTGTGAAGTTTATATTTATTTCTCAAACTAAATGTACACTAAGGGTAGTCCTAATTGGCCTTTATAGTACTGTGTGGAAGTTGGATTTTTATTTATATCGCCTATTTCATTTTATGAACAAATCCTTAAAATTCCGATGTCCATTTCTAATGTATTAGAATTATTAATTGATTTATACTATGTACAGCTATAGTACTAGCCTTCGCCCGCGACTTCATCTGTTCGGAATTTAAAAAAATAATTTCTAACAGTGGTAGAGCCCACTTCAACATCTTCGCACGAATTGGCTCGGCTCGCCCGGTGAAATACCACGACCACACAGAAGACAGGCGTGAAGTGGAAGTAATTCCGCTGTTCGCCTGATGAGTGTGCGCCCGGAGGCCTAATTTAGTCCTCTTTTCCTTCCTACCCTTTTTTGGAGATGTTTTCTTTCTGTACATCCTCTCCTCCGTCGATTAAAGGTAGGCAACGCATATGCAATTGCGTATGTCTATGGGCAACGGTCACATCGCTATTTCAGCGATTTCAGGTGGCTGCTCGCTCGTTTGCCACCTTATGATATTAAAAAAAAACTTAAATAGTGGTCTACGTGGTCTTTCAGACTATGTTCTACCTCTATGCCAAACATCGAGATCTATTCAGCCGTTTTCATTTAAATTTTTTACGCAATTTAAACAATAAAACAAAGTTTTTGTTTGTAACAAAAATTAATGGAATTTCATGGAGATGAAACCGCACGGGATACAGCAAAGAGTGTAAGAACAGGATCTTACTACCATATGTGGGCGGTCGCTGTATCAAAGACCACCTACGAATATGACGTGTCATTTGTCACTTCCATAAATATAAGAAACAAATGACTACTAGGCTTGTTAATGTGTTTTTGATGTAAGAGTTTTGTCATACTTAATGATTAGCTTTTGCCCGCGACTCCGTGCACGCGGAATTAAAAAATAGTAGCCTATGTGTTCTTCCAGACTATGTTCTTCAAGCCGTTCTGTAGATACCTTCTAATAGACTTCGTCTATCCATATAAACATTCGCATTTACAATATTAGTAAGATTAGCGGCTCGATTCGGCTTTGCATGTGTGGATATAGAAATTTAAATCTTATATTATAAATGCGAATGTGTTGATTGATCGATAGATATTTGTTAGAAGTTATCTACAGAACTGCCAATAGACTGGAAGAATACAAAGGCTACTAATTATTTTTTTATTTAAATTCATCGCAGACGAAGTCGTGAGCGACTGATAGCTAATTCAATCTTATTTAACCTGTTAGTCTAAAATAAATTATTGGTATATACACCAACTACAGTCAATCCAGTATTCCGTAGTCTATGCTTAATTATCGTAGCTCTAACGAACGCCATATGGAACACAGACAGATAATTGGCACCGACAATCTCCGCGTTTTGAATGATGAATGAACGGCGCTAAATTGTATTAATTTTCGTCAATCATTGTAACAGTTGAACGCCACACAATTAGTTTGCCATCAAAATATGACAGGCGTTGTTACATGATATATTTCCTCAATGTTATCTTCCTTGAGATGAGAGCGTCCGTGGCTGAGCGGTCAACCACTTGACTTGCAATCTGCAGGTCCTGGGTTCGAATCCCGCAATGTACCAATGTGTTTTTCGATTTACATATGTACATTTATCCGACGTTCTTACGGTGAAGGAAAACATCGTGATGCAACCTGCACATATTTGAGAAGAAAATTCAAAGATATGTGTGAAGTCAACCAAACCGCACTTGGCCAGCGTGGTTGACTATGGCCTAATCACCCTTAACTTACGGTAGGCTACGAGCCACTCGGTGGGGACGTACAGTGAGTTGATGATGACATGATGACACAGAACTTTACTTTTGATAATTTCTTGAAAATGTAAATTCCTTTTGAAGTTAAAAAAAATAATTTTCATTGTTTAATAAGAAAATGTTGACGTAAACTTCAAATCAGTTCAAGTGTTGAGCCAGTTCATTAACGGTCTCACATTTAGAACAAAGGGAAACATCAAATGGACGGGTACTAAGAAACTTTCTTTACTTTCGTATCTACCGTCCGCCCGTCAATCCGGCTGTCATAAAATATAGGCCGCACGTTCCTTAATACGTAAGGATAAAATATATATAGAACTAACTGTCGCCCACGACTCCGTCAGCGCGGGATTAAATAAAAACTATTGGTCGCAGCGTAATGTTATATACCCTAAAACCTTCCTTTATAAATGGACTATCCAACAAAAAAAGAATTTTTCAAATCGGACCAGTAGTTCCTGAGATTAGCGCGTTTAAACAAACAAGCAAACTCTTTCGCTTTATAATATTAGTATAGATTTCTGCGAAAGTCATTGGACAATGAGAGAGTTTGTGTCGTTACATTTATGTCAATGGAAACACATCGTAAGTAATTTTAATTCAGTCACGAATTAAAAACAAAAGAATATTAATGTTTAGTTACTGTTAAGCTAACGTAAACGTTTTTTGTAAAGATTTTTAAAGGATACCCTGTCTTTTACTCTTCTACTAAGAGTATATGGCTATTGTAGCTATTAAATCTATGCTAAGGCACTACTTTAGTGAACCCTTAACACTTACATAAGTATTCATAATAACAAGAGACCAATCTTACTTCTTACTAATATTATAAATGCGAAAGTTTACATGGATGTTTGTTAGAAAGTATCTCTAATTCGGCTAAACAATTCTCGATGAAATTTGGCATGGATGTAGAACATAGTCTGGAAGAGTACATAGGTACTAATTATTTTTTAAATCCGCGCGGCCGAAGTTCTGGGCGACAGCTAGTTCAACATAAAGAACATCTCGTATTTCGTAAATTAATCGTGTAGTTAAACTTTTATTATTGCAAACCAGGAATTTTCGGTTGAGATTAATTAAGAACTTTTCAAAGGGTCGTGTTGTAGTTACGATGTTTTCCCTACTTTTAATGACTTCCATAAACATCCCTTAAAATGGGCTGAGCGATGCTTTTATCTTGTATTCTCGTGTCGTTTGTTTTTGCATGTTTATAACAGTTAAGACTTAAACAACACAACGCCTAAAACCTATTAGGGTAGGTAGATTACGAATTTTAGGGCGGTCCACTCTCGCCTCTTCTCCATCTGTACATCTACTAGCTGTCGCCTGCCACACCGTCCGCGTGGGATTAAAAAATAAACATAATTAGCCTATGTGTTCTTCCAGGCTATGCTCTACATCTATGCCAAATTTCATAAAGATCCGTTGACCAGTTCTTTAGATACGTTTGAACAAACATCCATCGTAGTATTATAGCTTGGGGTTACCTGTACACAAATATCAATTCAAACTTTTGTCATTTTTAGTAAGCTGATATGAAATATTTGTTCCATATAAAGCATATGCCTCTTAGTAAATTATTTACTATGTAATAACATTTAAATTCGTTGAAGCGAATTTCAAGATTTGCTAACGATTTTCCTTGGCTTTATGAATGGTGAGGAATAAGATCGCTTTTGAATCCACTAAAAAATATTGACCTACTTTTAGAAATCGACGTTTAAATTTACCAGAATTTCCTCGAGATGGAGTGAATATATTCTTAAGTTTAAGGTGAAAATCTCAAAATCTCTATAAATGAAATATTATGATTTTAATATATTGTATATGTTGTATCAAAATCTTTAATCCATATGCTTTTTAAACTGATCTTAGAGGGCGATCCATCTAATTTATCAGTGGTAGAGCCCGCTTTAAAATCTTCGCATGAATTGGCCCGGCTCGTCCGGTAAAATACCACGACCACACAGAAGACAGGCGTCAAGTGGAAGCAATTCCGCGTTCCGTCTGATGAGTGTGCATGGAAAGGGAAGATATTTTCTTTCTGTGCATCCTATCCTCCGTCGATTTAAGGTAGGCAACGCATATGCAATAGCGTATGTCAACGGTCACTTCGCTATTTCAGCGACTTTTGAAATAAAAAAATTATTCCCTATTAAATAAATTAAAATCATAAATAAAGTAACAAAATAGGTTTTGGATATTATAAAATAGCTATTCGATTTTATCAGTTTTGTTGAATATGTACTCACAAGATTTGCATTATTACCTAGTTTCGTAGATAAGATTTGATTGAATAATTACTATGTTTGTTCTGTAAATTTTTTAGTGAAGATATCTGATAAAATGACATTTGACTAAGGCATATAATTAAGTATAGTCACAACCCTTCGCGGTGTTTCACTTACAGAAAAACTATCATGTTCCTTGCATAGTGACAAACTCCGCCACGTCATACAAAATAACCAATTAGGTAGCAGTATTGCGCAAACGACGGCATAATAATAAAATGCAATTTGTTCTACATGTATAAAGCTGCATTCTATTGGTTATTATTGCAGCATCGTCGTCTTTCAACAAAATGTTTAAACTGTTGCATTTAAGGTAGAATACCATCAGATTCCCTTATAGTACATATAAAGGTCAATCTATTTGCCAATGCTGACTGAACATTGTACAAACAGCCTTCTGTTTCCATTGTATCTGTAATGCTTCAGTGATTGCTTTGTCCTTTACTGTATTTTATTTAACAACATTCGCTTCCGTTTGAGGCAATATCGACCTATGTAAATATAATATCCTTGCTTAACCGTTCAGAACGTTCACATCAGGAAAACTGAAATGTTTCTCAATTTAAAAATGTACTATATGTTCAAAGTACTTTAAATATCTTTCTTAGTATATAATACGTAAAATATTGTTACGATCAAATCTAATAATCAGTAATGTATTTTAATTAATTCGATAGAGAGATTACTGAATCTGAATCTGGTGGACGAAAACTGGTGTGTTTACCCTACGAATGGGATAAGTACAGCATGATGATGGTAATAATGAGAAGCACAAGTAATAATGCAAGTTAAATGGTTCTACCTTAACATCTTAATGTCTACTATTTTGTACGAAAGAATTAAAAGACTCCTGTTCATACAGAGACTAAGATAACTCTACTATTTCTTGTCATCATTTCCTTATAAGAGAAGGTTGGGAAGGAAAAGAAGACTAAAATTAGACCAACGACACTACATTTATCAGACTGTACGCAGAATTGTTTCCACTTGACGCGTGTCTTCTGTGTGGTCGTGGTTATGCAACGGGCGATCCGACCAATTCGTGCAACAGATGTGCTGGCGTCTACCGTTGTTATAATTCCATTACATTTGAAGTTTTATGATTACGGTGAAGAAAAACATTGTGATGTACAATGCGAAGAAATTCAAAGATATGTGTGAAGTCAACCCTGGGACAGTGTGGTTGACTATGGCCTAGTCACCCCTTAGGGTAGGCTCCGAGCCCCTCTGTGGGAAGGTATAGTGAGATAATGATGATTATTTTTTCTACAGTGGAAGTGGAATCACTACACGCGCCAACAGGCGGTGCAGTTGAGTTGCCTTGCGACGTACAACCGACCCAGCCAGAAGATAGAGTCGGCTTAGTCATCTGGTACAAGCAGGGACACGAATCACCTATTTACTCGTAAGTAACACTTATATACTAGCAATATAATACATAAAACAATATTAAAAATAATGTAGCATTAAAATGGTGAAAGAATTTTTGTAATCAGTTAAGTAATTTTTGAGTTTATTAATTTGAAATTACATTAACTAGCTATTGCCCGCGACTGCGTTCATGTCGAATTAAAAAAAAAATTGTACCCTATGTTTCAGCGAGATCCGTTGAGCAGTTTTGTAGACACCTTCTAACAAACATCCATACATCTATCCAAACTTTAAGTTAGTCAATTTTTTTTTGTTGATATTAAAAATTTTGAGAACGCAATACAAACATAAGATTGATTTTATATAAATAATTTCATATTAACATGTTTTGTTACGAAATGTTTTTTGTTTCGTACAAAACTTTCTGACATATTTTATACATAAACATACGTTATGTTAAGGTATATTAAATGAAGATATAAAGATATACACATATTTTTAGCATAATATGAAAAGAGCAGTCATAAAAAATACCACACAATTTTCATATTACATTTTCCCTGAAGCGAGTTAGCCTTGAAAGTTGCACAATGGAAAATGTTACCAGCTTAAAATATTATACTAGTTTTTCCGTTATAAGGAACTTTGCACGTGAGTTGGCGCTTAAGCGTAGCTTAGTGCTTACAAGTTAGGTTTAAGCTGCGTTGAAATGGATTATTTCGCTTAACTGTTAGCTTAATGGGTAAGGAGTCTGTTACTTTAACTTTTGATGCTCAGCTTTTACTTAGTATGACTGGAGAACTATGACATGCAGAGTCTATTTAAGCATACGTACTTCGGTTGTACGTTTAACCGAAGTATGTATGCTTAAATTTTAATATTATAAATGCGAATGTTTGTTAGAAGGTATCTTCAGAATGGCTGCATAGATCTCTCTGTAATTTGGTATAGAACACTGCCTGAAAGAAAATGTTTATTTTATTCCTAGCTTAAGCTTTTGCCAGCGACTTTGTTCGCGCGGAGTAATAAAAATGATTATGATGAGCAATAAAAACAAACAGCAAGATCTGTTTAGCTATTAAGGAGATACTTTCTAACAAACATCCATCCATCCAAACATTCGCATTTATAATTGTATTAAAGGAAATCATCCTTATTTTTCTAAGAGAATAAGAGTGTTAACAATATGTTTTATATTAGTATTTGGACGGTGGAAACTAGCAGTAATTTGTTACAGATTGGACACACGAGAAGGTGTGACGTCACACTGGTCGGATCCCGCCATCTTGGGCACTAGAGCCACATTCAGAACTAACACCACTCCTGCAGTCCTCATACTTACGAGGTTAAGGTATGTAAATAAAAGCTATAAAAATGCTCATTTATCTAATAGGAATAAAAGATATTCCATTCCAAGTCATCCAAGGCAAAGAGTTACCTAGCTTTTACCCACGATATACTTCACGCGGAATAAAAAAAAATAATTAGTAGCCTATGTGTTCTTCCAGACTATGTTCTATATCAATGTCAAATTTAATCGTGATCCCTTCCGACGTCCACCCAAATATTTGCATTTTTAATATTAGTAAGATGTACCGTTTATCTAAAATATGTCTATAGAAATATAATTTTCAAGGCCAAAGTATTTTATACACACATATAATGTAATTAATTTCATGTAATTTGATTTAATAAAATACTAAAAATATTTGTAAATTAAAATGTACATCGCGACTGTCATATAAATATTAATTTTTAGGTTAGTTTTTATCTACGTCGACGGGCGGTCATTACTTCTATTACATTGAATACTGGCAACTCCGTGGGGTATGTTAAAACCCTTGTTTCACTAGTGCGACAAACCATTCCACTGTTATATTTACGATTTTTATTTCTCTGTTCGTAAAAGGGGGAAATGGCTGCATCAGTGCACACAAGTTCGTGATTCTTTCTTGACTGTACATAAATTACAGCCAACATCATGTTTACAAAGTGTCAAAGTATAATACGACAAATTACAAACTGGAGACGTTCAAGGTTTGCCATTGACCGTGAAGGAAAAAATCGTGATGCAACCTGCACAAAGATACATGTGAAGTCAACCCGGACTGTGCCAGCGTCGTTAACTATGGCCTAATCACCCCTAACTTAGGGTAGACTTCGAGCTCCTCAGTGGGGACGTATAGTGAGCTGATGATGTTTCCATTTTCACTTGTCTGTCGACTTATACAAAGAGTTGTTTAGTGGCTTAGTGGAAATAGGGTGTTAAGCTCGTTAATTAGTACTAGCTGGTCGCTTCGAAGAATTTCCTCGCTTCATCAACTAATTAAACATGGCCGTTGTAACGTCAATCTCAGATATCGTTAGTTAAAGTACCTTTATAAAGATTAACAACATCTATAAACATTAAAGTTAACGTACCCACATATTTATTACTGTAACTGCAGATGACGTCGTAATTTTTGATTAAAATAGCTGTCTAATGCGACACCGTCCCCGCGTGATTAAAAAAAATCGAATTTTGCTCACTTTTTAAACCTGCCATTGACTGGACCATTTCAAGACCAAGATAAGATAAATCTGTTCAGCCGTTCTCGAGTTTTAGCGAGACTAACGAGTAGCAATTGATTTTTATATATGTTTTATTATGAACTAAAATAGGCAACGCATCAGTATCTTCAAACCTTAAAGTTCCCTATGTCTATTTGGGAGTCGTCCCTTTGTTATTTTAACGATTTTAGTTGGCCTCTCATTTGCCACGTTTTTTTATAAAAAAATCTATACAAAATTACTTAGGTAAAAGAATTCTGACATTGGTCGAAAGATGAAATTCTTCCGAATGTTGTAGTAAGCAATATTTTTCTTTTGTTTTTTTCTGCAGAGCTGAAGACAGCGGTCAATACAGATGTCGTGTGGACTTCATCAAATCACAAACAAAGAACACAAGACTCAACTTAACAGTACTTAGTAGGTATTTTGAGTTACCTCACTTTCTATAATACAATTAAGACCACAATTAGACTTCTAAAAAGTTGTTCTCTTTTAAAATTCTTCAGAATAAGTCTTTAGGAAATTATTGTAAAATTTTAATGAACGAACACGAGGCGTAATGCTAAATGATCTGAAGCCGCATAGCTGAATTTAAAGCAAAAAATCCCTTGGAAATATATATACAGTCGCACCTGGATAAGCAAGAGCTCAAGAACCACGATATTTTTCTTACTAAAAGTCGTTTCTCTTCAACTTCAATTTGTCACTTAATTAAGGTTTTTATAGCTTCTTCAGTTCTCTTTTATCATGGTTTGACTGTATGTTTTAAGTGCCATTTACTATAACTATTATGTTTATTTAATGTTACTTTTGTTCATAGTACCACCAGACAGGTTGCTGATAATAAATCAAGATGGTAAGGAAGTGGACGGCGGTGTCCTTGGTCCTTATGACGAGGATACGACAATCAACCTTACATGCATCGCTGTTGGTGGTAAGTCAAACATTCATCATAAGGTAGGGTAGGTGCGACAGGTTTCGTCCTCATAATAACGAATATCAAAACTTAATAGGGCGCCTTAATCCCCTTTATTATATGAACATGAGCGCAAAGAAATAACTTACATATATATTTTTTTCAATATGGTCACGTTTTCAGTACCCAATTTTAGATATGCGCATTCATTTTAACCCTTTTTCGTAAAGGTCGTCCAACCGCTCGTGTGTCGTGGTGGAAATCTCACGCTTTGCTCGACAATTCTGAAGGCAAAGCTAAAGTGTCCCTCAACCTTCACAGATCTGACTACGGCACTGAAGTAACATGTCAGGTAATGCTGTACCAAAAAGAGACTAACTTAAAAAATAATAAAACAAACTTCTGTTGACTGATTACTCGTATATTTTCCTATATAAAGCCTTTATTACTCAGGGACAGTTCTAATTGCAAAAGAAGTATTAAAATAGTTCCAGTAGTTTTTGAGTTAATTATTTACAAAAATAAAAATCCTCGTTACAACATTGTTTTACACTCAGTAGTTTATTAGTAATATAAAGATAAATAACCTTACCGAAATTTCTAGTTATTATTATTGGTAACAGGCCGTGACTGACCCCTCAATAACTCCATTGTCTCGGACGCTGTCCGTCGATATGAACTGTAAGTATTACCGATAACTTGTTAATTACGTCAGTTTATATTTTGACTAGACTTTATAACTACTGTTGTTGCGTGGTTAAATTAATAGTTTATAAAATGACTTTTTAGTTCTGTTTTATTTGTGAAAGTAAAGTAAAAATATGTATATTAAAAGAGAATTTAAAATATTTACATGTAAAAGTATTTGTCCAGTCCATTTGTGAATAATTCAGGGCGCCCTAGAAAATACCGCAGCGTCGCTTTTATGATAAATACAGGTCAGTTGCTGGGAATTAGGATTTTTACTTCATAGATATGTTTTTCTTAAAAATTCATATTTATGACCCTGTTTAATTCATTAGGGTACATGGTATAGATATGGTCATGTCTCGTAATTATTATTTTTAACACTTTATTTAATCCTGATGCTATAAAGCTTTTAAATATTACTTTAATACTACGGCTTATTGTTTTAAAGACCATTATTGAATAAATAAAAACGTCTACATTCATTAATCCGATGTCAGCGATGAATAATTTCGCCAGATTAATACGTGAGTGCCGTTTTTACTTTACTGTGATACTTCTCTGTCAAGTACGTCCGCTGTGGGTGCGCATACAAGGCGGACAGCGACCCCTGGTGGCGGGTCGCAGCACATCTCTCACCTGCCAGGTAGTGGGGGCCCGGCCCGCACCCACCGTCTCCTGGTGGAAGGGAGCCAACAAAATGAATTCTGTCACACAAACGGTTAGTATTTACTAATAACCGTTGGATTTCACTGTCGCAATAGCTGTAAATAAACACAATTTGTTACTTATAAAACCTAAGAGATTTTACTTTGTTCTATGACACCTCACTTTGGAATACAGGCGGTTACAATGGACCTTAATATATATAAATATAATTACATACGTAAGACAAACATTCTCCTAAGTCTGTAGGGTACAAACAATAAAATATGACTGTTTCTGTACATTTTTCTCCAGTTAGATTTTCAATCAATTGATCTAGCAAATAATTAGTACCTAAACTAATATTGTATCTTAACAATCAAAAGAATTCGCTACGAAAACAGCCAGGTAAGTAATTAAGAAAATGTCGAATTAATTAAATAGCAATTAACAAGCAGTACGCAACGAAAGCGTTATATACGAATATCAATTATAAAGACCCCTCCATATTAATTACATCTTTAACGTACTTAATATCCGACCTCCGTGGAACCTTTAGACTAAATTTAGGGGAAGCAATTTACAATATTAATAATGTTTCCAAAATAAATTACCTCGATGCTTAAAAACATTCTGTCGGCTTTTTGTGTACATCAATTATTTTCTTTGATTGAAAATAAATGTCATTACATTCTTGTAAATATACACCTAAATAAAAACAACACAATTAGGGTAATCGCTATGGTTATTACCCGCTAAGTCTATTGAGATTTCTAAAGCTTTAAGGACGGTAACGTTTTGCGAATCCTTTGGTGTTGCGGATGTAAATGGGCGTCCGTAACCTTTTTTTTGGTTTATTCGACACATTTTTTGCAAAGGAATCATTTTTGTTTTTACTCACCTATAAAGGTTCATGACATGATGTTATATATTTTATAAAGCTAAGGAGTAAACTTTTAAATGTAACAATATTTGATTTATAAATATTTTTGTATACAATCGTTACACGATTGACAAATAGATTATGTTTAGTGCAAGGGGTTTAGACAAAGTGTATTCGCTTCGAAGCGATTCCATAACGAACTTCAGAAATGTATAGAATTGACAGTAACTTTCGATAAGTCACGTGATTGTGATTGAAGTTCGCTATGGAATCGCATCGAAGCGAACATACTTTGTCTAACCCCGCAGGAATTTAGTTACGTGATGTGTACATTTTACTGATGTGGTGTTTTAATTGGAAGTTTGAGGTTTCTTTTTTGATTTTGTGTTTATTTGAATCGTAACTTACACCTTTTAATTAAATGTTAAGTTATTCTTCTTCGTAGACGACACTGGACGGCAACATAACGAGTAGCGTGTTGACATTCGTGCCCAGCGTTGAAGACAGTGGCAGAGCGCTGTCGTGCAGAGTGGTGCAGCCGACTTTAGTGCATTCCACAAGAGAAGACGGCTGGAAACTGGAGATACAGTGTAAATTAATTTTGTTTACAACTAGCTGTCGCCCGCGATTGTCCGCGCGTAATAAAAAATAACTAGTAGCCTATGTCTTCTTCCAGATTATGTTCAACAACCCAGCTAAATTTCATCAAGATACGTTGAGCCCTTCCGGAGATACCTTTAAACAATCATCTAAACATTCGCATTTAAACATTAGTAAGATAAATAATCTATAAATTTACTACAATCATACCTAATGTTAGGTGGTCCAAAATGGTGTGCAGTACCCTAATGAAGCCATATTCACCCTATTCATCAAGGCGTTAAAGACCCTAGTATACGCAGGCATTTCCTTATTTTCTGTCTAGATCTTATTATTATAATTCCATTTAAAACGTAGCACATACTTTTCGTAGGACTAAAAAAGGGTTTCGTTTTTCCTTTCGAAGTCACCTTAAAAAAGATTTTTTCTTATATCACTTTGTTACCTATGTTAAGATATAAAGTACATAGTAATTAATTGAGATATTATTTTCAGATTTACCAGCAGTAAAACTAAGTGTGGGAGCTAACATCAACGCTGAGAAGGTGGTGGAAGGATCTGATGTGTATTTAGATTGCAGAGTGAGAGCCAATCCTTGGCATAGTCATGTTTCCTTCACACATGATGTAAGTTACGACTTTGAGTCATAGAAAACCCAATCTAACAGTTTTTTAATATCCTATTTTACTTTTTTACTTATTACTTTTGACTTTTAGCTTTGTTATAAAATATATCGGAAAGGAAAATCAAATTGTAGTCTAAAATTTAATTTATTTATGAAACTAGTTGTCGCCCGCGATTGTCCGCGCAGAGTAAAAAACATAATTATTAGCTTATGTGTTCTTCCAGATTTTCTACATCTTTGCCAAATTTCATCAAGATCAGTTGAGCCGTTCTAGATTCTTCTTCTTCTTCAAACACCTGTCCATCCATCCATCCACATCACATTTATATAAATATTCGCATTTATAATATTAATAAGTAATGAAAAGCAGCTCTTCAAGGCATAAATTCGAAAAATTAACAAATCAAAAGTATCCAATGTCCGTCTCCTGGCTCTCAGCTACCTTCTCACCAATTTTCAGCTATATCGGTAAAGCCGTTCTTGAGTTATAAATAGTGTAACTAACACGACTTTCTTTTATATATATATAAATAGATTTAATTATATTTATCAGAATTATTGGTATACAATTCTAGATATTTTCTTGACTAGTCATAATCGTCTTAACCAGGGTGTTCCAGTGAAGCCAGGAGTTGGAGTTCTGTTAGCAAACCAGAGTTTAGTACTACAACACGTGTCTCGTGCTGCTGCCGGAGCGTACGTCTGCTCAGCCAGGAATGTGCTGGGAGATGGACACAGTCAGCCATTGATGCTGGATGTCAAATGTAAGTACATCTATAAATGGACCGGCTATAGGACATAATAATTTGTGCCTATTGATTATCATTTTGTCATAGTGGCAGTTATAGTATAGATAGAATTAACTGTCACGTAACATCAGGCGGTTATATTGGAACGAAACAATTCATTCCAAGCTATATCCATTTATTTTTGACTATTGACCAATCATAGACAATGATAGTAGGTAGGTAAGGAAGGATAAGGATAGGTAAGGAAGGATAAGGATAGGTAAGAAAGGATAAGGATAGTTAAGGAAGGATAAGGATAGTTAAGGAAGGATAGGGGTAGGTAAGAAAGGATAAGTATAGGTAAGAAAGGATAAGGATAGGTAAGGAAGGATAAGGATAGGTAAGGAAGGATAAGGATAGGTAAGAAAGGATAAGGATAGTTAAGGAAGGATAAGGATAGGTAAGGAAGGATAAGGATAGGTAAGGAAGGATAAGGATAGGTAAGAAAGGATAAGGATAGTTAAGGAAGGATAGGGGTAGGTAAGAAAGGATAAGTATAGGTAAGAAAGGATAAGGATAGGTAAGAAAGGATAAGGATAGTTAAGGAAGGATAAGGATAGGTAAGGAAGGATGAGGATAGGTAAGAAAGGATAAGGATAGGTAAGGAAGGATAAGGATAGGTAAGAAAGGATAAGGATAGTTAAGGAAGGATAAGGATAGGTAAGGAAGGATGAGGATAGGTAAGAAAGGATAAGGATAGGTAAGGAAGGATAAGGATAGGTAAGGAAGGATAAGGATAGTTAAGGAAGGATAGGGGTAGGTAAGAAAGGATAAGTATAGGTAAGAAAGGATAAGGATAGGTAAGGATGTATAAGGTAGGTAAAGAAGGATAAGAATAGGTAAGAAAGGATAAGTATAGTTAAGGAAGGATAAGGGTAGGTAAGGAAGGATAAGGATAGGTAAGGAAGAAGTCAATTAGTTCGAGTACTTAATGAGAAACAGTGGTAGGGGAAGTATTGGTTCGAGTATATATTATATTGAAAATTAAAAAAAATGTTCACTCAAGTCGCAAAAATGGTGAAAATCAAATAGGAACAAAATACAACGTCTTATAGCCAGTCCATTTATAGAGTTCAGTAAATTATTCATATACATACATTTTTTTAACTTTTGTTCTTTTCACTTGTTAATTTATGAAGACAAGAAAAAAACAATTAAAAAGGAAATAAAAATGATTCATTAAACTTAGAGCTGGTTGTTATACATTCATCGTAATATTTCTTCATTTATAATTTATTCATTGTCGGTTTTTTACATAACGCGGCATAGTATTATAATTTTTTAATCTACATGCTAATTTTAAACTTAATTTTCGCTTTAAATATACTCAAGTTCATACATAAATTGTTAATTTTTGAGGTTATAATACACCTTTGTAACCTAAGAATTTACACATTCTAATCATCTGTATAAAAACATATTTCATCCCTAATATTAACTTTAAAAAAAACATAAAAAAAGTTTCTTTGTAAAGATATTTAGAGAGTAAAATAATAAACCAATATATAAGAAAACTATTGGGTTTTTAAAACCCCTTATAATATTTAATATATGACTTCTATTAAATCCCCTTTCAATAAACTAGACGTAAATTGTAGAAAATCTATATCATAGTAAATAGACCCCCTAACAATTTCTCTACTAAAATTACATTTATTCTTTAACTTATGCATCCTTTATTTCATTTCCTAATGTACTATAGGCCTTATGGGGTTGTGGTTACTTTTGGGGTCAGTATACACTTTGGGGGTCAGTATACACTTTGGGGGTCAGTATACACTTTGGGTGTCAGTATACACTTTGGGTGTCAGTATACACTTTGGGGGTCAGTATACACTT